ATGAACATGTTACATACTAAAATGAACATGTTATAGAATAAGATGAACATGTTACATACACAATAAGGTGAACATGTTACGTAATAAAATGAACATGTTATAGAATAAGATGAACATGTTTCATAATATAAATGAACATGTTATAGAATAAGATGAACATGTTACATAATAAAATGAACATGTTATATTATGTATTATTTCAATCTGCAATCTGTAACATGTTCATCATATTTGAAAACATATTCATTTTATTGTGTAACATGTTCATTATATGTCAGTACAATAAAATAATTACGAAAAAACGAAAAATTAGTTGTGTTCAAAAACCTATCAAATGTGGTCTCTATTTATAGATAATGAAAACTTATAAATTTTTGTATTTTTATTTTATTTATTTAATATAAATAATTAATGATATTTTAATTTATGTAATATGTCTCATTTTTCAATTAAAAAGAAAAATTGAGGATGTGAACTACACTCTCTTAATTTCTCTAGTTTTGGGGAGTTTTAGGGAATAAGGGGCGCGTACTGGATCAAAGCAGCATGTAAGCACAGTAATAATTGCTAATGATAGCACTTAAAGCGCATGCCTGTTAATTTGACTTAAAAAATGTACTGTGGTGACCCAAAAAATTTTACAGAACCCAAAAGGGAAAAAGAGAATTAGAAAGGGAGCAGCCACTGGGGCTAGCCCAGTTGGTAGGGGGCATTGCCTCCTTGCTAGAGATCCAGGGTTCGATTCCTGGGGAGGCAAAAATGAATTGGGATGGGGTGGGGGGGGTAGAATAGGAAAAAAAAAAAAAAAAAAAAATATCGATACATTAAACCAACTAATAATCAGTGCTTTGGGTGTTTGTACGTATACGTACTCCAATGTTATGTTCCATTAGGGGTCGTTTGGTTGGAGGGAAATGGAGGAAAGGGGAGGGGATGAAATTTTTTAATTTTCTTTTGTTTGGTTTATAAGTTAGGAGGGGAGGGGACGGGAAATTTTAAGTAAAAATCCCTCCCCTCCACCAATTTTGCTTCCCTCCAAAAGTGGGGGGATTTGGAGGGAGGGGAAATATTAACACATAAAATTACTATATTGTCTTTATTATGTTAAATATTTTATTATTTTGTTTCTTACGTCATTAATGCTATAATTGTCATTTTCATAATATTTTCTTTTCCCTCCATTATTCTAACCAAACAAGGTTTACCATTTTCCTCCACTTCCCTCCTACAAAATCCCTCCAAACAAGGTAAAATTATTTTTACATCCCCTCCCTCCCCCTCCATTAAAATCCCTCCCCTCCCTTCCCCTACGTTGAACCAAACATACCCTAAGCAACGGGCAAGTCGTATTTATACTGTATTTTTGTCATAAGTGTATGTTAAATATACAATTTATTTTCTATGTATTTGGTACTTTTGTTTAATATATGTTGGGATCAAATGAGTTGGGATCGAATGAGAAAGAGAGTCAGTGAATAAAAGTCTCAGTCATGATATACTAGTAGTCTGGTGCGGTACTTGTGCGATGTACGAGATAATTTTATTAAGGTAAACATTTATATTTGGATGATTGGAAGAACGTAAAACACATGTATTGAAATAAAACAAAATGTAACTGATACATTATTAAACACATCCTTGTATACAACATTATTTGGTTAGTCTTTTGGTACATCGTCTATTGTGTAGCCGAATGTAACAGAGATTGTAAAATGTCTTTCTAATTGATAATCTATAGCTTTATTATTTTAAAAATGTAAATTACTTAATTTAAGGAATGGAAAATTTGTGTAAGTGTGTGCAATCAATTTCAAATTTGTATTCTAGAGGATTAAATAAATCACAAATTTTTAGGATGTTCCAGTCTGTTTTTATTTTAAATTTTAAATTAATATTACTTGACTCTGTTTTATTTTTAAAAACATCCGAACTAAGAAAGGCGTAGCCAAATGATAAGAAATTTTAAATTTTAATTTTCAATTTAAAATTTGGCCCAATTTCTATGAAATCTATTTTTTTCGATAAACATGATCTGTTGCAATTTGAGTTAAGCAGTCTTTGTATTCTTGCAAAAGATTTACAAAGGCAGACATATGGCTAGCTATTTTCGAGCAGTTAACGTACCCTATGGTCGCCTCGGGTGGGAGCCATCTCCAGTAGGTTGACCACTGGTACGAGATTACCATCATGCGGAGGCTACGGGGGAGTACAAGCCAAGCTTTACAGACTGACTTTGCCACCAGTTCGCTCGCTATCCCAATCTTGAAAGGTCTAATAGGCTCGATTACATTGACCTCTCTACGTAAAGAGGATGATCTTTACGCAATGCGGGGTTTTTGGTGTTCTGTAATGGCTTTGGCTTTTTACTCGGTGCCGTTGGTCGATTCAAAGCGCTAAAGTTGCCTTTTTTTATTTCATTTTCTTTCTTCTCATCGGCCATTTTATTCGGGTTTGGGTTTGAATCTTGAGGTGTAAGCGCATTTGGGAACTAAATCTCAAGTGGGCTCGAGTGTAATTACGAGATTTTTGCGGCCCTTCCATTGTATTTTCGATTTGGGTTTGAGTCTTGAGGTGGGTTGCGCGTGTTCGATTTGGGATTTTACGCAGAGATTAAGCTCATTTGGGACTGAATCTCAAGTGGGCTCGTGTGTAATTTCGAGATTTCGCGACCCTTCCCCTGCAAATATCGCCGGCTGCTGAGGTTGAGCCGGGAACGGAGGCCTTTCGTGCATTGCCCGCCGTGTTTTTTTGTATAAGAATAATGTATTATTTTTTCGGTAACCAGCCACGGTATCCGGAGTTATGCCCCGACTAATCCGTTGGTCGACTCGGGTCGCTTATGTGACATTTACTCATTGGTGATGTATTTATTTGAAAATATTAACATCACCAATATGTGCATGCCACATAAACGGTGGGCATATTAAATGTGCCCACCGTGGGTAGTGGAGCATTATCCTTGAAGATATCGTATGGTTTTTCGTTAGAATATGACATCTTTTGTAGTAATAAGAAGTCAACTAGTACAACACCCGTGTATTACACGGGTGCTTGTTAAAAAATTATTCTTAAATTTTAAAATTAATGAGAAAACTATATTAAATTTAGTTTACTTTTTTACAAAAAAAATATATTACTATATATTTTAGAATGATATGTGTTACTCATGATATGTGTTATATTATATTAGTTTTTATAACTTATATCATATGACTACTTGAAATATAAATATATTAGTTAATAAATAATTTTATTTTTCTAATTAATATTAAAAATAATTTTATTATTGTTATAAAGATAAATATAAATTTTTTTTATACACAATATGGATGTTAAACCGATACTCATCAAAAGAATATTAATTTGATATATTACATATGTAAAACTGATAAAAAATACAAAAGTTATTAACTTTTAAAATATATATACAACTCAATAGTTATAATAAGAAATGATATTAAAATGCAATTAATACATGTAACATGACCATAAATAATCAACATATTTATGATAATCCGAACCTAATTATTTTTTGTTTGAAATTAAATTTATATTTATCCAAGCCTAACAACAAAGCATGTAATTTTGCCACATAGGATTCCGAAGCACCAAAAAACAGCCACGTAGGCTCAACTGGATTAATATAAAGGGGAGGGGGATATACTATTTCCACCGTGAATTTCGTGAAAACACACGAAAATTAGTAATAAGAAGTCTAACACATGGTAAAAAAATAAAAATATTTGCAATCTCAAAGTCAAATACATGATAGAAAGTAGAAATATTTGCAATCTCAAACACCACGCCGAAAGCAACTTGAGCTAAGAAGGGAACATATACATCACATTAATTCCTCTGCAAATTAATTAATTATTAGTCTATTGCTCTTTGTAAAAAAAAAATGAGTCCTATTCTTGGGCTTGTTGTTCTCTTTCTTTCTCTGTGGCTTGCATTATTCGTTCATGCTGTTCATGACGAAGATGTTAGGACTTATATTGTAAGAGTCAATAATAGGATGAAACCATCTGTTTATGCAGGTGTCAACCACTGGTACGACTCCACTCTTCAAAGCCTGGAAAACTACTCCGCTAAACAGTACTCATCCAAACTCGTTCATGTTTACCAAACAGTTTTCCATGGCTTCTCCGCTAAACTAACCCCGCGGCAAGCCCAACAGCTCGAGAAGCGGCCGTGGGTCGTTGATGTTTTCCCCGACCGAGTTTACAAGTTACACACGACCCGGACGCCTTATTTCCTCGACTTATACTCTGATCTCAACTTTTCGGTTGCTGCGCCTTTGTTGAAATATTCTGATTATGGCTCGAACGTCATCATCGGATTCCTCGACAGTGGTATCAAGCCGGACCACCCTAGCTTCAACGACACGGGCCTCGTAGACCTCCCAGTGGGCAGATGGAAAGGCAATTGCACGGTGGAAGGGTTTCGGTGCAACAACAAAGTCATTGGCGTTAGGATCATTAACGATGATGGAACGGACGTGAGTCACGGCACGCACACGGGGTCCACGGCTGCAGGAGTGGCCGTCGAGAACGTGTTTTATTCCGACAACGCGAGCGGCACAGCCGTCGGAGTTGCGCCCAAGGCACGAATTGCAATCTACAAAGTATGCAATGATGATGGTATCTGCCTGGGATCGTACGTTCTCGCTGGTTTTGAAAAGGCGGTGGAGGATGGGGTCGACATAATCTCCGCCTCCTTCGGAGACCAAGCTCATGAAGACTTTTACAAGGACCCCGTCGCGATCGGGGCATTTGGTGCCATGGCGAGGAACATTTCGGTCATTGCATCCGCGGGGAACGTAGGCCCAAATCGAGGCACAGTGGCCAATGTTGCGCCGTGGGTGACGACCGTCGCCGCCGGCACAATCGACCGAAGGTTCGCCGCCAATCTTGTAATTTCTCCGGAAGTGACGTTCAACGGGACTTCGCTTTACAGAGGGCCCCCCTTGGATCCCACTCCTCTGCCCCTGGCATACAGAGGGAATTGTACGTCGTTGGACGAGAACTTTTCTGGAAAGATTGTGTTCTGCGACGCGGCGATACGTCACCCCGATGTCAACGAGCCGATATCGATTGATGAGGTTGTGAGAAATGCCGGAGGTGCTGGCGTGGTGGTAGCCAACATGCCCCGAGTCGGCCGAGACCTCATTGCCAAAGACTTTGCCATCCCTGGCCTTGTCATATCCGAGTCCGACGGAAACATGAGTCGTGCCTTGATAATGAATGGCATGATGACAAATGCCACAATGATATTCCGCGGTGTGGAATTCGTGACTGACCAGCTGCCAGCTCCAGCGGTAGCTTCTTTCTCCTCCAGAGGCCCTAGTAGCATTTCACCATTTGTTAATAAGCCCGACGTGTTGGCGCCAGGTGTCAACATCCTAGCGGCATGGCCAGAGGGCGTCGAGTACAAACTGCTCTCTGGCACATCCATGGCCTGTGCGCACGTGTCTGGACTGATTGCTCTCGTGAAGGCAGTCCACAACGACTGGTCCCCAGCCATGATCCGCTCCGCCATCATGACCACGGCTTATAACATTGCCAATGATGGCAACCTCATACTCAATAACGAGGATGCGCATGAGTCTATCGCATGGGATATGGGTGCAGGTCACATATACCCGAGTGATGCCATTGATCCCGGATTAGTCTACGATATCACCCCGCAAGATTATGTGGATTTCCTGTGCGCCTCAAATTATTCGGATCCTGCGATACAAAGTATAACCAGTGACACATATGGTCGGACGGCCAATTGTAATGAAAGGATGCCGTGGGACCTGAATTATCCAGTCATCTCTATTCATTCCAAGTTATTAGGTCCTAATATCACGGTTACCAGGACCGTGACAAATGTTGGTGAAGATGATGCTACTTACACCGTGAATGTGACCAATTCAGAATGGGTGAGTCTGACGGTAAATCCGATGAGAATGGACTTTACAAGCAAAGGCCAACAGCAAAATTACGACGTGACTATAACCGCAACAGGCTTGCCGGGAAGTTTGATTGTGCAGACGTATATAGTTTGGTCAGACGGGAAGCGGCAGGTGGTGTCGCCTGTTGTGATCTTCCCACCTTATAGCCTGTCATAGTGACTGCTCCAGCATTCATGTATCCTTTAATTGTTTGAAGTTTGTCTCTGTTAAGAATATTGCATCTATTTGTTTGATTTTCTGACTTTATATTTTTTGGAGATTCTACGGTCTCGTTACAGAACTATTCCGTGGTAGTTTGTAACTGTTACATCAACTATCCACAACGGTTACATGATGATCTAACGGTTACAAATTTCGACGGAATGGTTCCGTAACGGAACTGTAGCATTTTCCTATATTTTTGGCGTTCCTCCTTGAATGCGATCAAGAATTATATATCTTGAATTTTCAGGTCCTAGCAGCTTAGATTTATAAGGTCAGTATGTGATGCTGAGGACATCATGATATATGCTAATTAATTTCAAGAAAATTGATGAATTTTGGTTACAATGAATGTTAAGCAGATTTTTTGACAACTATTTTCAGTCTTTCAAATTAACCTCTACATGTATAGTCCTATATTTCTAACAAAATTAAATAAATATTTTTTAAAATTAAAAATAATTTGGAATACAGAAAACATTATATAGTAATTAACTAATTATTATTTTTTTTGTCTCTTTTTTTTTTCTATCAAAGATTGTTAAATACTCTTGAGGGAATGCAGCAGTGTTAAAACTCTTGAGGGAGAGCTTTGCCGTCCTTGTGGTCCTACCCGGCTCGATTCCGGATTAGTCGGTTCCCCTGTTGATCCGGAAACTGGAAGGTCCCTGTACCAAAAAAAAAAAAGATTGTTAAATACTCGCGACAGAACAATTACAACAAAAAGATGTAAAAACCCTTTTTTTTTCAACGGTTGGAACAAAATTTGCAATACGGTCAATTTTATGAGACTAAATTTGCAATTTTTTCCTTTTTCAACCTAACGACGAACGGCCACGTGACTCGCATGTGACATCCCCGTTAATGTTGATGGCTTTGGGACTACTTTCACAACGAAAGAAAGAAATTAAGGACTTTATTTTCCACCATGAGGACTAAATTTGCAACGGGCCCAATCCTACGGGACGAAAATTTGCAGTTTTAATAAAGTTCTACACTTCTCATTTTGTTGAACATATATAACTATTCATTGTAATTTTCCATCCTAAAACAAAAATGTCTGACAATTTTTCTTGCCTTTGATCCAAAATTGCTTCCCATCATCTGCATTATTATAACTTGTAACAGTTTAATTCATTATCTTTTCCTCTATTTAGTTACTAGTACAATACTCGTGTACAACACGAGTGTTGAGTTAAGAAATATATGATAATCGTTATTTATGTCTAATGTCAAACCTAACTCCATAGCAAAATAATATATATAAAAAAGAAATCACGAAGCATAGATTTTCGTTATGTCAGCATCCGAAGCGTGAAATCTACCACTTAAGTTCAACACGTTTTGAATCAGAGATATCAATACCTTTTCCTTTTTTTTTTTTCCGAACCATAAGACACATAAAATACTCATGAGTATATCCCCTCTTAAACATCATATACAAACAAATTAAACACAACAGATTTAATTGTGGTTTTTTTAGCATGGGAAATTGCAAACTGTTTCATACACTATTTTCATTGTCAATTTTAATTTTAATAACTCCCTTAGTATGTGGCTGGGGATATGATGCTCATATGACCATTTGCAGCATTGCCCAGGCTTGTATTTCTTCATCATAATTCATAAACAAACATTAATTATCTCGATCGTACTTTTTTTTATTTTCATGTCGAAAAATTTATAACAACAACAACAAAGTCTTTTAGTCTCAAACAAGTTGGGGTAGGCTAGAGATGAAACCCAATAGAAACAGTAGTTAAAAAAAAAAAAAAAAAAAA